ATTGATGTTCGACACTTCTTTGTTCATCACACTTGACACTCCATGTTGGGTTTGGGGAGTGACGACCTTGACCATGATGTACACGACACTTGATGTTGCTTCTCATGCTGAGACCATCTAGCCTCCTCTTGATGGAGTACAAGAGGAGGCTAGATGCACGAAAGTTAGAGGATGTCGTATGAACACCATATACATTTCATCGCCCTCATCATCCATTTGAAGTGTCTATTTTGTATTCAAGACATATTAGATGGGAGAACCATGTGGCTAGACACTTGCCTGAGAGGTGTCTACGCCAGTATGGTTATGTGCAGGCATCCCTCGTCCAATTTCAAAGACTCCAGCCGGTGGCATTGATAGATGGTTTCAGAGTCACATTATCAACTGCCCCGTGAGATCATGGATACAGTCGTTGAGGTTCAGTGTCCTGGGCAGGGCAATAATGGATACCTGAAGTGGTTTCACATTGTGTCACACCCTCGAGTCATACCGTCGATTACAACATCTGATGTTTCAAATCCTCACGTGTCAGGGTTTCTTCCGAACCACCACATTCACCTCCCACAGGTGATCAGGACAACCGCCTACAGTTCATCGTCTCACCTTTCATTTAGATAGCCTCATGGGTTTGGTAAACCCTGATGGTGAAGTCTATACAAGTTTAGCTAAGTTAGTCGACGTAGCCCATGGAGGACCTATTTAGATTTATTTTATTATGATTGTATTATATATATATTATATGACACACATACATCTTATTTATTGCATAAACTTTTTGGCGATTACATGTTTCGATTCGATGATGAACATAACATAACATAGTACAAGAAACATAACTTTAAAACAACTAAACATGAAAACCTAGACACTACCGAATGACTCTGGACGTTTCAGCATCTTCATTATGTCGTTGATGGATCTTCGGATCTCCGCATCCAACTAACTCGATTAGGTTGTATTTTACTCTTTCATTTGTATCAATCCAATCCTCCTGAAACTCAACCTTTGTCACCCTTCTGTTATCGAAATTTGGTAACAAATCATTCAACGTTTCTTTCAAGGTGACAAGGGATTCATATGCATCTGGAATCTTGAATTCAACAACAGGGTTGTATTTGTTGAAATAAACTTCTAATCAGATACTAAGGAAGAGGCATTTTTTGAGATGTCTTACCATATAACCTGAAATCCCTATTTATACAAATGGTGATGCATTCTAGACCACACAAATGTGTTGGTGCAATCAGAACCCTCCAAATATATTGATAAAATCTCGACCGTTGAAAAAACTTAAATACATAAACTACCAGAAATTTCAATATAACTCAAATTTCCGATACTGCCGCATAAATTTGAAATTTCCAATTTACCGGAAATTTCAAATGCACTACTAAAAATTTATTCTTACCGAAAATTTCATAATGGTGTACTGGAAATTTGATCTGTATCAAAAATTCCAATCCCTTCTATCAGAAATTTCATCCGAAGATTATTTATATCTCACCAAGGGCAAAACTGGAATAAATAAAATTAGGGGGTGTCATGTTTAATTTAAGGGGTGGTATGTTAATTTCCCCATTATCAAACACACGCTATATGGACCACACGCTAAATGAACCAAAAATGAGTGAGAGGTTTAGCTTTGCTCACGGGTTGGAAAAATTCTCAAACTATCAGAAATTTGAACAGAGGACAGCAACTCAAGCAGTTAATAGGCCTCAACTAGGCAAATGCAAATACAATGTTGACATTGCATACTCTAAAAATCTCAGCAAAATGAAAATTGGTGTTTGTATTTGAGATAATGAAGGGTATTTTGTGTTGGCTAAAGTAGGATAGTTTCAACCTATTCTTGATGTAGAAACCAAAAAATATCTGCGACTATTATTTAGGAAATTTACATTCAGAAATTCAATATCACACTAAACATCAAAAACAAGCAAAGTAGCCAATTAAAATCCATGAGGAAAAGGTAGAATGTGTTAATGTTAAATCTCAGTTTTCCTTTGGACAATCTTCCATCTTCAGGAAGTACAATCTTATCAACTACCACTAATCAAAAAATATTTAGCATATTCTTCCATCCTTTCTTCCTACCCTATGAAACAATCAATTTCTATTTTGAAAAAGAATATATATAAGAAAATCATCAAAATGAGGGGGAAAATCAAGTCAAAGACTCTAGCCAATCTGATACCAACTCATATGCAACAAATGTGACAGCACCAGCAGGTGCAGCTTTAATAGTTGATGGAATTATCCCCTTGTATAGTCCAGCCCAACCCTCGGACTGAAATATCCTATGCACGGCATCATACATATTACTGTATGCTCGATGCTCAACTCGAGCTCCGTATCTTGGATGCCTTTGAAGCCCTTCAATCTATATAGTAAACAAAAATATGAAGATCCATTTTTACATTGATGTTGACAGAAAGCTTTCTCTAATACCCTTGTTTTAGACTACTTAAAAGACACTGTAAATTCAAGTTTAACATTGCCGTTGTTTTACCTGAAATCTTTTCTTGACAACATCGAGAGGATGACAGACAAGTTTTGCACATGTTCCAGCCGCCAACCCGCAAAGGAAAAGCTGAAAGCTAGAAATACTATCATCTCCTGTGGTGTGGGAATATCTATTATGGTTCCAAGCCTACAAGTTTATGCCAAGATTTAAAATGACGACACATACAAAATCTTAAGCCAATGACAATCTACAATAACAACCTACCAAAATCCGTTGCATGCAGGACATAATTGAGTCAATCAATAAAAATGAAACATTAAATAGAAAGGCTGGAATTTTACCGAGGCCCAACGCTTAAAAGTATCGTATGTTCCAAATTGTAAACCTGCATAAGGTACAATCTCAACTAGAGTTGGAGATAATCCAGCATACATGCCTTGGAATCCACGAGTCCGGATGATGTCCATAAATGCTGACCTCATGTTTGGATACACCTAAATAAATGATGGAAGTATATTTTCAAAACCTTGTTACGAACAAATTAGTTTGGAAAAGGACTAAAACAACAACAGAAATCAGTATTTCCACATAACACAAGAGAAGAACATAAGTGGCGTATGCACACAGGCAGAGTTCACGAATTAACTAATAACAGACTTGTATTTGCCTATAGAATTCAAAGGACCGCCGTGATGTTTCTTCTCAGCAATAGTAATCCTTCAAGAGGCAACACAAGGCTTGCTGGTACCAAAGAACCAATACTTAAGCACTAGTAAGCCGAGTTATGCGGCTTCAATCCATTCTCCATCCAAGCTTCAGTGGGTCTTCATAGTAAAGAATCAGGATATTTAAGAATACGTGTCTACTGTCATCGCTCAATATGTTAACCGGCGGTGGATAAATGTTTTGTTTTTCTTCGGAAAAGCGGTGGATAGATGTTAAAGTTCGTGAGGGAAACTGCCACAACTCGTCTATGGGATTTTGCGTTAGAAATATAAATATAAGTTGTTTTGTTGCCCTTGTCAAATTATTCGTGATTATTCATTAGATAACAATATGTGCAAAGAAAAAACCAAGAGCGCAGAGATTGAGATGTAGGTGGTTAAAATAATGGCAAGAAAAAACCAAAAGCTGTATGAATGAACTGAAGTGTCTAGGAAAACCTCCAGAACATTAATTTGTTTCACTGGCCTTCAGAACACTAATAAACATGACACAAATTTACTTTGAAACTATAACAGATTTAAATTTATTAATATGTATACCTTTGGCTCGCCTTGAGAAGCTAATATGGTTCGGAGAAGATCAAAAGGATATGAACCAACAGTAGCTGCACACCCAGCTAGGGCGCCACTGACATAGGATAGATAAGGGCTCAAATTAGTGTGGTTTTCTGCAGAAACAAAAAACAACCCAAGAATCAACATAACTCTAGAATAGTACAAAATATAGTACATTTTCTGTTTCAAAGTTATATTTCTAGCGTGAGCTGTGCATGTGCATAGATTTTGGCTCGCAACTATAGTGTATATAAACCAATCCCTTAACTTCAGACAACAGCCTCATCCCGATCACAAAGCGCCTTATACCAACTAAATTGGTATTAGACCATGTTTGGATAAACAACTTAACTAAGCGCTTAACATATAAGTGTTTGTGTATAACTTATCTGTATAACAAAAGATAAAAAATAACCAAACTATTTTAATATATAAGCTATATCTTCAAAAGCTATCCTAGAGAGTTTATGGAAATAAGCTGAAAGCCGCTTACGAACGTGTCAGAAGCTATTTCCATAAGCTCTTCCAAAACAGTCCTACAGGAAATAAGCCAGTCTAAACAGGCCTAGAATGAATTCGACGAGCTATAGTTACGGAGCTAACTTCTATGACTTAAAATTACTACCTAGCTAATGAAGCAAATTAGTACCTGTCCTGGAAGAACCAGATGCAAGAGTCTTTAACTTGTGTAAAACTGTAAACTGAATTGCTGTATACGGCATAACCATGAGCAAAGCTGGCACATTCCCTCGCCAAAAACCCTATAAACATGCCAAAGAAAAATCGCTTTTTTGTCAACAAAAAAACAATATAACCAAACTTGAAGGTTAGAAAAACAAAGGTTGCTTTATTTGTACTACCTTCAAGCCTTCTTCTCTAAGAATATCTTTACTAGCTTGCAGCATACCAGTATACTTCGACGGCGCGGTTAAAACCAAATCTTTTCGCAGTAAAGCCCATGATGACGTTGGTTCAAGTTGAACCTGAAGTTACAAATTTTAATAACACCAACATATGAATTCAACAACAATAATGAAACAGTGACAATTAATTATACTAAAATTAAATGAAACAAAACAACATAAAAAATAAAATAAAAAACCTGAAATCTAATCTTAATAACATCAAGAGGTGATGTTACAGTACGAGAAATTCCCCCAGAAATTGCTCCAGCAGATGAATCAACAATAGCACGTTTCAGTTGGCTAGGTTCATCCATTACCACCAAAAAAAAAAAATCTTCCCTTTTCAGATTACACTTTTTTATACTTATTATGATTATAATTACAATAACCTGTAACATAAAATCGATATTATTGTTAGGGTTTCGGTTTAATTGAAAATTTAATGAAAAGGGTAAAAAAGACAAAAACGTACCTGAAAGGGAAGAAGAAGAAGGAGGCAATGAAGAAAAGAAGAAGAGGGGAAAGAAACGCTAGTGTTATTTTTTTGAAGAAAATAAAATTGTGATTTGGTTTATTGTGTTTTGTTATTTGATTCAGATTTGCTAAGTTTCTTTTTTTTCCTTTTTCGTCAAATTTCTTCTTTTTGACGGAAATTTTACTATTTCTAGTATGAATTTGGGTATCGCTTAATTAGGGTTTTTTTTGTTTTACTTAAGAGATATTTTATTTGAATCATAAAAAGATTTTGTTTTATGTAGATAATTTAGGAACTTTGGAATTATAGAGAGATTCTAGGAGACCGTTTTTGTTTTTCTTTTGTAACTCTAGGGGGTTATTGGTTAAAATTTAAATTTGTTTATTATATTTTAATATTTTCATAAAAAAGAGATTGTGTATAAATTGTGTAAATTATTTTTATATTTATCAATCAATAACAATTATATAATTAGTTAAATAAAATTGTAAATTTTAAATTATTTATATTTACGGTGCACTCTCATTAATTTTTATTTTGGTAATATATATTACTTGAAGCAATTCAATTTTAATTCTAAAATGACTAGTATAAAAATGTGTGTCATTTACGTAACAAATAGATATTTCTTCAACCTTTATCAAAAATAATTTAAACTTTTTAAGAAAATATTTGTAAAATGTGCGTGAAAAAAAATTAATAATCAATATAACTATTTAAAAGATACCATTCTAAATTTGTTTATTAAAATAAATTATCTTATAATGGATAAAGTTTGGATTATATATCATCAGATTCCAAATATATTGTTTTATGTTAAAATATTTAACATTTTTATATATTTGTAATAAAACGGTTAATAGCTTTTATTAAAACAAAAACAAATTTTTATAAAAATATATGTATTATGAAAAAATTTATAAACAGTTGGATTATATAATTATGGATTTATTGATGTTGAAAAATAAATATGAAAAAATCTAGAACATGTAAATGGTGGGTAATTCTTATGATACTCTTTAATTTGGCTTTATTTTTATTATCTTATGATACTCTTTAATTTGGCTTTATTTTTATTATTTTTGTTAGTTTTTTTTCTCATAATTGGGTTTTATATTGAAATAATGTTAGTCTTATAATATTCTTTAATTTGGTTTTATTTTGATGTAAAAAGTTTAAATTTGCATCTGCTGTTAATGAATTCTAAATAAATAAATAAATAAATATATATATATATATATATATATATATATATATATATATATATATATATATATATATATATATATATATATAAAAGTCAATATCAATTGACATCAATTATAAGTTTAAAATCTTAATACCGAATCTCAATTGTTAATATGAATGAATATAATATTTATTAAAAAAAAAATTTCAAATAATTATATTTTTCAAAAAAAAAATTCTTAAATAACCATTTTTTCAAATAATTTATCAAACTGACTACTTTTTAAATAAATAAAAATTTGTCACACAGAGGATTAACCACTATGTGTGGCGCATGCATGCATTTTAAAGAGGAGACGTCACACTGTATGGTTTGTCCTCCTCTGTAAAGTCATGCACTGTGGCGCATGCATGTATTTGTAGAGAGAAGGTGCCATCTTCCTTGGTTTGACAGTGTTATTTATTATTTTTTTTTAAATAAAATAAAAATAATTAAAAATATTTTATATTACACAACGCATGGATACATTTTTTTGGACGTCCCCTCAATGTAAGTGGGTCTCAGTATGACATAAATGCCCCCGCCTTTGCCTCACCCCTTGTCTCACTCCTCTCTGTTGATTTTCTTGAGGTGTTTGGGGTATGTCCTGACTCGCTTGATTACGAGATGCTTGATGTGATGGTCCTGGTACATCAAGATCATACATCTCATCGATCATTTCGCCCCACTGTGATGTGCTTCCAAAGAGATTGGTGTCCATGTTGTTGAAGTTTGATCTTGTTGGTTGGGATATGTGTGGGTGGGGTGGTTGATAGTATTTGGATGTTGAATCATGATGGAAACGAAGCAACGGTTCTTGTGGTGTATGAGATCCGTATGATGGTTGGGTATTTCGATGGTGTGATGTTTTACTGTATGTAGGTTGGATGGTATGGTAGGAAGAAGATGTATCATATGTGTCTTAGGTGTTGTAGTAGGATGAGGATGGTGCATATTGTTGGTGGTAGGTCGGGTCATGCTCTTGGTATTGTGTTTGTGTGTGTGGCATGAATTGATGACGGGTTTGGTTGAATGAGGTGGTGTATGGTTGTTGGGTTTGAGTGGGTTGACATTGTGGTTGGGTTTGGTACTGTTGAGGGGTTGGTTATTGGGTTTGATATTGTTGAGGGGTTGGTTGTTGGGGTTGTTGTTGGGCGTATGTTGCAGCTCTTTGGCGTGGGTCGATCAAATATGTCTCTTGAGACAAAAACAAATTTGTTGAAACCGATGTGTACCATATCAAATATTGGAGTGTCGGTTTTAAGTCATCTTGCAAGATCGGCTCCCTTAGGACCAATTCACGTCTATGCCTCCATTGACGATATTGATTTTTAGCGAAGTCTCTCAAATCGTTAAATCCCCATTGGTCGTCAACTCTGAGTAGATGTCATTGTCCCAAACATGTTAGGGGGTCGGGAATACCCTGTTGCATGCCAAACTGTAGCTTCACACGATCACTATGGTGCATCTCCACAGTAGTGAACCTGATGAGTGCTATTTTTGCAGTCCATACTTCAGCATCAGCTAGGTTAATCTCATGGTTGAGATCCTTATACGGCCTCCATACAAACTGTAGAGGGAAAAAAATTATATAAAATATTAAACTTAATTAACCTGTTGAATGCGTTGTATAAAATATGTAAGTTTAATACCTCTTAGGGTCCAACATGATCAATAAGATTTTGGTAGACTACTATTGTGTTTCTAGGGGATTTGTTGTAATTCATCCCAGGAACAGACCACCTACATAGAAAAAATGGGTAATAAATTAATACATGTTGGTTACATTATATAGTATGTAAAAGTTATGGTTTCGTAATCTTACTTTGTAGCAAAGGGGAAGACGAATGGGCTTGTGTTGCAAGGGCGAGTGTCGGCATTCTCGACCAGCACCATGTCTGGAGCAAAAAGGCGCAGGAATAGAAAGAACAATTATCGTTCGATGCATTTTTACACAAAGAACTATACGGATGGGACAAAACAGCAGAACCCCAACTATATGTGTTTATTTTATCAAATTGTCTTAACAAGGGTAAATACATGATATTAACAGTATTACCCGTTGTTTCATGAAATAAAAAATTGCCAAATAATATTATTATGTAACACCGAGCTTTCACAATTTTTTCTTGCTCGGTGGAGTTTTCGCTTATTACGAGACTACTATGATTCTCTAAGAAGACGGAGATTAATACCTTGGCCTCTAGACCCTTGTTCAAATAAAGAGACTCCCAAAAGTTCCTCGCATATGGTGTTGACTTGGTTGACTCAGCCATTGACAGTCTTACCATCAATCGGTAGACTGAATAACATGTACACGTTCTCTAGTGTGATTGTACATTCACCACATGGAAGATGAAAGGTGTAAGTTTTGGGTCTCCATCTCTCCACTAATGCGAGAATAATTTTATAGTCAACATGGTAATTGACTATGTTGAGTAACAGACCAAAACTGGCATGTCGTAAGTACGGTTCAATTTGAACATCGTAAGGGACATACTCATGGACACGGCAACGAAATCTTTTAACATCCTATTAAAAACATGAATTACGTATAATAAATACAAGATTTATATATAACAATCATAAGAATTACGGAAATAAAATTTGTCAACAAAAAATAGGTATTGAGGAAAATACACTTACAAAGGTTTCAATGTTGTTGAGAGTTCCTCTATGTTGATCACCCATGGTCAAGAGAGACATTTTTTCTTGATTACTCTTGTGTTGTTGTTGATGTTTCAAGAAAGAAATAATGCGTGAGTTATGATTGTGATGAACATATAGGACGAATGTTACATGTATTTATAGGAAAATCTTGAAGAATATTATGTGTTCACGTGAGAATACTTTGCATGCAAGAGATACACATAGGCACCACCCTAGTTGGCGCATCCTCTTGTTTAATACACATAGGCACCACACTAGGTGGCACATGCTCTCTTTGATACATATAGGCTCCATTTAACATGGCTTGTTGCTTTTTGCATGCATGAAAACCTGGAGCGTGGTAGGGATCAGATGGCATGCATGCAATTTTGTTGTTCAATGACAAGTCACCCTAGGTGGCGCATGCATGCAAAAAGAAGAGGACAAGCCACCCTAGGTGGCACATGCATTCAAAAATAAGAGGACAAGCCACCCTAGGTGGCGCATGCATGCAAAATATAGAGTACATCCCATATTTTCATCAGTCTATTTAATCATATGTGTAGGGTGTATTACTAGTATACATCCATAACTCACAAAAGCATACCTTAACAACATGGATCGTTCACAAAATTATACTATTGTTGCCCATATTAACGGTGAGACGTTCAACTACGATAGCTTTGGTTTTAATTTTTGTAATACTGATTTTATCCGCTTTTGGATAAACAAGAAATCAAGTTTTGCATGCTTCAAAGATAGACTATAAGCCAAATTGCAGTGTGGTCCAGTTTACCAAATTCTTTACAAGTCCCCATTTCTATTTAACAACAACCAAGTCATATTTTATCAACTAAAGGTGCACGACAATGATGATGTTCGAAACATTTTTCGAACTCATGAACAATTTGGGTTCGATGATATTAAGTTGTATGTTTTATTACAGCAACCAGATCAATCTCAAGTGGTATATCCTTCTTAAGACTTTGAAGAAGTGGATGAATCTAACGAGGACAACCATCCCAAAGTCGATGTTATTAACCAAGAAGAAGATGATCATGAGGTAATTATTGATTTTATGGTCAATGATGATGCTAGATCAAGAGCATGAACATGTACCTACGAGTCATGTGTATGACCCTCTGTTTCACATGACGAACTTGAACTTGGGGGAAGATGAATTAGCCTCATATATCTTTCATAATCCTTATATGCAGACCGAAGGGGCCTTGAAAGTTGGAGACAAATTTCGAACAAAAGAAGAGTGTCTTAGAGCTATGAAAAAATACCACATGGAAATTTTAGCTGACTTCACTGTAGATAAAAACAATTCAGGGAGGTACGTTATTTTATGTCATCAAAAACCAATTTTCCATTTTCGGTTAACTGCATCTTACAGGAAGAGAAGTGATTCATGGGAAATAGGTTCCATTGATCCACTCCACACTTGCATCGCCATCGTTCCGATACAAGATCATCGGAAACTTAGTTCTCAACTAATATGTCAAGAAATCTTGCCTCTTATTAGAAAGGATCCATCATTAAAGGTGAGTACAATTATTTCTCATATCGCTACAAGATTCAATTACACTCCCTCTTATAGGAAGGCATGGATTGGGAGGACTAAGGCAGTTGAACTTGTGTACGGTAATTGGGAGGAATCGTACAAAGAACTTCCAAGATTTTTAATGGCACTCAAATATTATGCTCCAGGAACTGTTATAATTTTGGAGACACTCCTGTCATTTACCACGGACAGAACTCGTGTTAGTGGAAATGGAATGTTTCATCGATTATTCTGGGCGTTTGAACCATGCATCAAGGGTTTTGCATTTTGCAAACCTATTATACAGATTGATGGAACTTGGTTATACAAGAAGTATAAATGAACATTACTCATGGCAGTGGCACAAGATGGGAACATTAATGTTTTTCTGATTGCCTTCGCTCTAGTTGAAGGTGAGGCAGGTGGTGCATGGAATTTCTTCCTGAAGAATCTCTGATTACACGTTGCTCCTCAACCCAACCTTTGTTTGATTCCAGACAGACATCCATCGATTGTCAGTGCATACAATAACCCTATAACAGTTGACAGGATCACCCTTCAGCACATGTCTATTGCATTAGACATATCACACAAAACTTCATGCTTCATATCAAAGACAAGACACTTTGATAGAAAGTTATTAATGCAGGGTATGCCTTAACAGAACCATCATTCTGACACTATTGCAAAGAAATCCAGTTGGAAACTCAGAAGCATTAAGGTGGATCAATAACATTCCAGTGGAGAAGTGGAATCGGGCATTTGACAATGGTCAATGATGGGGCCACATGACAAAAAATTTAGTGGAATCATTGAACTTTGTATTCAAAGACATCCTAAAACTACCAATTACTATTTTGGTTAGAGCAACATATTTCAGGATGGGGTCATTGTTTGACACAAGAAGTTCAAAATGGAGGACAGTGTTACAATCAGGGAAGTTGTTAAGTGAATGCATAATGAAAACATTTAACGAGGAGGCTGTGAAATCAAATACCCATAGTGTTGTACCCCAAAATTTCCCTCCCATTTTCACTAAACACATGCTTCTAGAGGTCCTCATTTTCTCAAGGTTGACCAAGAGTTGATCAGACAAATTCTCGTCCTAAGCAATGAACCTCTAATTAGGGTTTCACTTTCCATCAAGATGTGTGAGCTCCCAAAGGTCTCTAATATTTTCCATGGTCCTAATATGCCTTCAATATTGTCCATAACAAATTTCATGTCTTCCACTAGAAGTTTACTCAGTCAATTGCTCAAATGGGTGAAAATTAACTATGTTAGGTCAAAAGTCAAATGTGGCCTATATACAGTCAAACTTCAAGTTTTTTGGTCAACATCAACATTTTGAAGTGATATCCATAATTTTATCAAGGGTTTACCATGATTCCTCAATAAATGCTCCTAATTCATCAAAAGTCAAGAATTGATAATTAGAGTTTATATAGGAAAAGTCAACCAAACTTTCACCAGGCATAACTTTCACATACTTCATCCATTTTTCTCCAACCAAAGCTCATTTTGAA